GACGAGCACAAAATATCGGGCGATTCAAGAATCTCTGAAATATCTGGCGGCTCGGGAGGATGTCTCGGGCGCCGCGGCCTTCTCAGAGAGCTCCTGAGCGCTCCTCCTCAATTCCCCCCCGCTCCTTCTCCTCCTCCTCCTCCACTTCCTCCTCCTCGCCGGCCTCCTCCTCCTCCTCCTCCTCCTCTCCTCCTCCTCCTCCTCCTCTCCTCCTCGCTCGCCCTCCCCCCTCCTCCTCCTCTTCCTCCTCCCCCTCCTCCTCCTCCTCCTCCTCCTCTTCGTCCTCCTCGTCCTCCTCCTCCTTGGCTCAAGCCCCCCTCAGCCCCCCTCAGCCCCTTCCGCGGGGGCGGCGCGCCATTGAAGTCGACGATTCCCATGCGGCCGCAGGCGCGCAAACAGCCGGCGGCCGGCGGCGCCATGAGCCGGGCGGGGAGGAGCAGGAGGACACGATGGAGGTGGATGCGAGCGCCCGGCTGGCACCCCAGTTTCGGGCGGCGGCCTGGGCGGTCGATGTGCAAGGGGCATCGGCACGACCGGCCGCTTCCAGGTCTTGTGGCCTGGTTTTTGAGACAGGCGAGTTGCGTTTGTGCACATGGGCCAACCGCGCGTGTTCACGCTGGATGTGCACTACCTGCCCTGCAGGGCCGGCTGCCGCCTGGCGCGGAGTTCAGGCCTCATGGGAGAGACGATGCTTTGAGCGCCGAGGCGGCGCGAGCGCAGACGGCAACACGCGAGGCTTTTGGCGGAGCAGGAGCCGCCGCTGAAAGGGTGCCGCTGGCGCAGCAGCAGCGACACCATCCCATACAGCATCCAACTTGGGACGACAATGAGCTACCTGGCCAGGACCGGTGGGCAGCCCTGCCATGGGATGACTTGTTGACTACAGGGGCCATTACGTATGTGCAGATCCCAGACAGACTACACGGCGCCGTCCTCCAGGTGCGCCGGAAGTCTTTGGAAGTCCTTCGGCACGCTCGGGAACGCGGGGAGGCGAAGGATGAGTGGAAGTTGTTCTTGGTGCTGGACCTCCTCCTTCTCAGCACCAGCGACGAAGTCGCGACGTGTGCAGGGCTGCTTGAGGAGCGCCTCGCGTGGTTCTAGGGGGCCCAGTGGGACGCGCTCTGGACGTCCGTCCGGCACGGGCGGAAGATCCCAGTGGCGGCCGCCAAGAAAAGCGACAAGCAAAGGGCGGCGCGGGTACGCACTTTGGCAGCAGCTGGAGAAGAAGGTCGGGCGTAGCGAGCCACGGCCAGCAGCATAATGGCCCCGCGCACACCAGATACCCTGAACAAGATCAAGGCGTGTTTCCGCGAGACTGCTCATCCCGTGCCGTCGTTGGAAGGCATCCCGCGGCCTCCGCCAGAGATCCTCGAAAGCGTCCGGGAGGAGACAGTGAAACTGCTGCGGAGGCCGCCCCGCCTCTCGGCGCCAGGGCTGCTAGGCTGCCGCTTGGAGCACTTCGGAGACACGAAGCGGTGCGCCGAGACGTTGGGATGACTCTCTGAAGCGGTATGGTGGATCGCCTTCGGCATGCTGCCCGGTGAGGCCCTGGCTGTTCTCCGCGCTGGGGAGGTCACGGCGCTCCGCAAGGAAGGCGACGACGTGCGGCCGCCCATCGTGGGTTCCACGGTGCGCCGCCTGGCCCTGCGAGCACTGCCGCGTGTCAGAAAGGAGCACTTTCGGGCGTCAGCTGGCGACAGGCAGCACGGGGTCGAGAGGCCAGGCGGCACCGAACTCTTGGTGCGGAAGCTGGAGGCCCAGGCGGAAACCAGGCCCACGGCAGTCTTCCTGAAGCTGGACTTGGAGGCCGCCTTCCCCTCCCTAGAACGGGCGCCCGCCCTGACGGCCATGGCAGAGCGAGACGAGGTGGCCGCGGCAGCTCTCCTAGCGTGGTACGGGCAGCCAACGAGACACCTCTGGTGCGACGCGGGGGGTCGTTCCCACCCGCTTCAAAGCGAGAGGGGCTTCGACCAGGGAGGCCCCTTGTCGCCCGCTGCGTTCTCCGTGGCGCAGAGGGTTGCCTTGGACAGGTTCTACGAGGAGCTGCTCCGCTTGGACCCACAGGCGAAGCTGTGCAGCTACTTGGACGACTCTTGCCTGGTGGTGGAGGCCGCGCTGGCTGTTCTCGCACTGCAAGCCCTGCAGCAAACTCTCCAGCCCCTCGGGTTGCGGCTGAACCCCGCGAAGACAGCTGCTTGGTCCCTGGCAGGGCGGGTCGTGCTCACGGGGGAGCTGCAGGCGTGCTGGGGGCCCAGCTTGCCCGTGCTCGGCAAGCGCCTGCGACCTCTGGGCGACGCCGACAGCAGCGCGCCAGCGGCCCGTGGGGAGCCAGCGAACGGCCTCGCCGAAGCTGGGAGGAAGCTTCAGACGCTTTACCAAGATATTCAGAAGCTGCACAAGGCTGGGCCGAAAAAGCACGCGACGGCAGCCCTCTTCCTCGCCAGCGCAGGCCCGGCAAGCCAGCACCCCTTGCGAATGAAGCTCGCGACGGGCGCTGCGACGGAGCAGTGCGACGACCTGCTTGCGGGCTGCTGACGGGGCCTGCTGGGGCGGGACCTCGGCGACTCAGCCAAGGAGCTGCTGGGCCTCCCGGCCCGCTGCGGGGGCCTGGGCGCGTAGTTGGCCAGCACGCGCCGCCGCGCGGCTTTCCTGGCTTCCTGGGCGCTGGCGGCGGAGGAGGTCGCGGAGGGCCAGGGCAGCGGGACGCTGGCAAACTGCTTGGAACGGCTGCCGCGGGCGGCCCAGCAGCTCGCCACAGCGCGGCGCGGTTTGCGAGACCAGGGGCCGGAGCTCGCCGCGGGCGGGGGCCGGGCGACTGCGCTGCAGACGTCTCTGAAGCAAGACCTAGCTACGGAGAAGTTGCAAAGAAATTGGCGCGCAGTTCTGCTGCGACGCGTGCACCTTCCCAGTCAGGTCGAGCTTCGGGGCGCGGCCGGCAGCGGCAGCAGCGCCAACCTGACTTACCCGGGGGGGCGAACTCTGCACGCTGGGGGGCGGCCGCTGGGAGACCAGCGCCAGGCGGCGGCCGCAGCTCCCGCGCGCGGAGCTCAGCCAGCTGGGGCTCGCGACGGCAGGGGCCGCCTGCTGCTTGCGCGGCGCCGACGGGGCTGGCCGCGCTGGGGCTCTGGGCGAGCGCGGCTACCGCGACTTTACGTGCTGGCGGGGCGGGGGGGTGCTGGCGCGCCATGGCCGACTCAACAGGGGGGTCGCTGGGCCCTTCCACCACTGGCGTGGCGAGCGGCCCCTCCTCGAGCAGAGGATGCCGCGACGTGGGGCCGCCGGCGCCCAGGCGGCCAGCTCGAGCGCGCCGTCCTGGATTTGGAATGCCAGGAAGACGTCGGGGCCCTGTGGCTGGACGTCTCCGTTCGCCACCCCGCAGCTGGCAGGCTGGCCGAGCTGCGCGTGGCTGCGCGACGGGGCGGCGATGCCAGCGGGCGCGGCGAGCGGTGGAAGCGCGCGCTACCCGGGCGCCCGACTCACGCCCTTCGCCCTCGAGGCGGGGGGGCGGCTCGGCGTTGAGGCCCGCCTCTGGCTGCTCGGGCAGGTGCGACGCCTGCCTGAGGGCCAGCTGCCGCGGGAGCTGGCACGGGCCGACAAGGTCCTGAGCTGCGACCTGCAAGCTGCTGCGGCGCGCCAGCTCCGCAAGGCGGCCGGCCCGCGCTAGGCGGCGCGCCAGGCGCCGGCGACGCCGGCCAGACGACGCCGCCTAGCAGAGCGCAGAGCGAGGGGCGCCGCTCTGCCGCCGCGACACCCGCAGGACACGGCCCGCCCGCGCTGAAGCTGGAGACCTCTGAAGCGGCACTGGCGGGGTTGCCGGCTGGGACGACGGGCGGCGAGGGCCGGGCTGCTGCCCGGTGGCGCAGCCGGCTGCGCGACGGGGCGCCGCGGCGCGGGCGCGGGCACCTTTGCCTGGGCTGGCCGCGGGCAGCGGTAGGACGGCGACGGTGGCGACGCGGAGCCCGAGCCGCAGGGGGGCGCAGGTCGTCGAGGTCGCCACGGAGCTCCCGGGCATGCTGCCCCCGGCTGGCAGACCCCTTCCCTCCCCTGGGAGTTGCTGTTGTCTTATACAGTCAGCCACCTCCGGGGGTGCCGCCCGTTTTGGCTGGGCGGTGGGGGTGTCTGCTGGCTCCCGATTAATGTGCGTCGGGCGCGCGGAGAAGACCCGCGTCCGCCGCCCCTCCTCTTCCTCCTCCTCCTCCTCCTCCTCCTCCTCCTCCTTTTTCTCCTCTTCTGCAGACGTAGACGCGTTTATTGTCTCGGAAAATTCGTTGGGAAGGGTCGCGGTTCGGATTGATTGCGTTGTCTCCGTACTGGAGGTTGTCCCTTTGGCTGATAAGGAGGTCGGGGTGGCTCGAATTCGAAATTCGCTTCGCTTGGAGGGGATCTGGTTGGGGTGTCGGGCCTCTAGTCACTATAGTCCCGTGGTTGCCGCGCGCGCGCTCGCTTGGCCCAGCAGGGAGTCGGGGTTCCATCCGTCGATTTCCCCACCCGCTCAACTCCCTTTGGGCGTAGGCCAGGGGCTGGGCTTCTGAGCCCGAGGCACCCACAGAGCGATGCCACAGGTCAGTGCGGGCTCGTGTGGCCCGTAGGGCTGTCACTCCCCGCTGCTGCCAGAGCGGCCCCGCCGCGGTCCCATGAACCGCAGGCGCCGCGGCCGTTTCGCAGCGCAGTTTTCTCCCTCCTCCTCTTCCTCGCTCGCCCTCCCCCTCCCTCCTCCTCGTCCTCCTCCTCCTCCTCCTCCTCCTCCTGCTCCTCCTGCTCCTGCTCCTCGCTCGCTCTCCTCTTCCCCCCCTCCTCTCTTCCTCCTCCTCCTCCTCCTCCTCCTCCTCCTCCTCCTCCTCCTCCTCCTCCTCTTCCTCTTCCTCTTCTTACTTCCCGACGGCTCCTCCTCGCTCGCTCGCCGCCGATCGGCGGCACCTCTGGCCCGAACCGCTCGGCGAACACCCTGGGCCTGCGCGGCGTGCGCCATGCGGGCCCCCGCCGCGCCCGGGGCAAGAGGCCCGCGGCCGCCGCTCCGGCGCGCGGTCGGCGGCGGCGGGCCGCGGGCATGTCGCGGGAAGGCGCGGCCGCGCGAGCGCCGCGTTGGCTGGTCCACTCCACCAGGTCGCCCCGACGGAGCTCGGCGGCGAGCGAGGGGGGGAGAGTGGGGAGGAAGGGGGGGCCTGTTCAGGAGGTGGCGGGGCCTCTCCAGAACCCTCTGGCTTCCGGAGAAGCTTATCTGCGCCTTCGGGGAAGGCCCGTGACCTTTTTCAGAAGGCGGGGGGACGTCCGAGCCTTCTGAGAAGGCGCGCCCCTTCTCACTTCCCCCCGGGCTGGCCTCCGAGAAACCCAGACCTCCGCCACAATCTCTCTCTTTTTTTTTTTTGTTTCTCTCTCTCTCTCTCTCTCCATATATATATACACACTTCGATATACATATATATATATATATGTATATGTATATATCTATATATGTGTATATGTATATGTATATTTACATATATATATATATATATATATATATATATATTCATATATGCACATATATTTGCATGTATGTATATGTGTAACTGTGCACATATATAGATATAATGGTATATATGTGTATATATTTATATATGTACACAAACCCTCCAATGGATTGTTCCTGGGCCTCAGGGGAGGGTGGCGGTGTTTGAATCGCCACGGAGAGCCAGCGACTTTCTACACCGCCGCCCTCCCTGCAGGCACATACAGAATCCGTCGAAGGGTGTCCACGCGTATATTTTCGCGGCGTAAGACAGGATCGCTTCGTGAAGCGAAATCAGGACGGGAGGTTTCTGAACCGTCTCCAGCCTCTGGGGGGTTGCGCCGGGCCCGAGGACAGTAGTCATGGACAGGCTCCAGATCCCCCCTTTCCTCCCCCCATGGAGTAGATCTTCGCTGTTTTGGGCGCCTGTTTCGAGCGGGTGGGGTCGCCCCCAGAGGCCGCACTCTTGCAAACAGTCGCATTAAGCAGAGGTCCAGAGCCAGACCCCCCTCTCCCCCCCCCTTTCCGCCCAATGTCGAAACGCCGAATAAAGAATGGTGACTTAGGAGGTCGACTTCTGAATTCATGTACCCCAGATTTTCTCTTCGAATCTACAATGCATGCGCAGGATGCTCCGTGGATCAACGAACATTCCGCATCTTTTTTCGTAGATTCGACAACCATATCACCTTTGGGGTAGATCGATTCTGAAGTCGATCTCCTACTCGAATAAGGGCGTCGCGTGTCTGGGAGCGGGTCCTGAGGGAAAGTTGCCCAGCGATGCCTCGCCGTCCTCGTGCCCGCGGGGTCCTCCACGGGCCTCGGGATCCGCAGAAGGCGGCCCCGGATGCAGAGCCGGCTCCGGGTGAGGCCCCCGGGGTCGAGGGCCTGGTTGCTCGATAGGCCTCCCAGCGCCGCATCGCCATGGCATCGCCGATGCGGCTCGGTCTGGAGGCCGATGTTCTCCGCGCCGACGGCGCCGACGTATGCTGCGGGGCATGGGCGAGGCAGCGCCATCCTCCGACCCCGGCTGCTCGGAGTCCACTTTTGGGAGGCCTCCGGCTCCCTCGGGACCCTCTCTCTTCCCCGCAAGCCAGGTCCCTGTTCGTGGTCGTGGACCACCCCCAGAGCGGGCGCGCCCAGCAGGGCCAGGTGAGCTTCCTGGGGATCTCCCGGGCCGGGGTGGCCCAGGAGGGGCAGGCCGGCGGGGTCGGCCAACGGCGGGCTCCGGGGGCCGCCTCCTTGGAGAGGGCAGCCCGGCTTGGCTGCGCACGCCTGCCGCGTGCAGAGGCGTGCCTTTTTTTGTTCTCTCTCTCTCTCTCTCTCTTTCGTTTTTTTTTTTTTTTTTTTTTTTTTTTTTTTTTTTTTTTTTTTTTTTTTTTTTTTTTTTTTTTTTTTTTTTGTTTCTTTTTCTTTTTTTGTTTTTTGTTTTTTGTTATCTTTTTGTTCTCTTTTTGTGTTTTTTTTGTTCTCTCTCTCTCTCTCTGCAGGGCGCGCCTTGCCCGATGTGGGGGATGGGCGCGCCCGAGCGACCACGGGCTGCCCGAAGCACCAGTTGCACGTGGCCGACTCGTGACCCCCCCGTTTTCGGCCACGCGCAGAGGGGGGTAGGGGGAGGAGGGAAGGCTTCTTAGAAGCGCCTCTGCTTCTTAGAAGGCGCGGGCCTTGTCTATAGATGTAAGGCTGGGCCCTTCTAGGAAACAGCCTGCTTCTAAGAAGCCTCCCCCCTCTCCCTACCCCCTTGTGCGCTCCGCCAACGTTTGCCAGTTTCGGGCGACTGGTCCCAGGATCGGTGCGATTGTATGCCCCCCTGGCCAAGCTCGGGTGGCGCATGCACAGGCCCTGCGGGCTCAGGATGGGCCTAGCTTGGACCGGTGCATGTGCATAGCTCTTTTTCTGCGACCCTTTGCCAGCGAACTGCCCTGAGATCGGACCTCGCGACAGAGTGCATCCTCGCGGAAAATCACAGCAGGAGCCCTATGGACCCCATCTCTCCGCGGCATTTTTCGAGCCGCATGCATCGAGCTGTGATGGCCCCCCCCCAGAAGCCTGGAGCGGGGCGAAAAGTCCAGTGTTCGGGGGCGGAAAAGAAGGGGGTGATGACTAGGGGGGGGTGGATATCATGGCGGGGGTCATGATATTTCCCCAGATTTCATGGCGCCTCTTCTTATTTCATTATGTCCCTGGCCCCCCCGCTGAGCCGCGCACATGCCGCCGGTCATGATTTGCACGCCCCCCTCTTGGACACCCCCCTCTTGTCCGCTCCCGAAGTGTGAAACACTGGGCACGCCCGGATTCCAGGGTGCTGTCATCGGGGGCCTCCAATGGCGTTGCGTGGTGACCACACCGCGTGGTGAGTCAGAGGGGATTCAGGGTCACCGCACGGTTTTGGGACTCGGGCCGTTCTCCGGGGAGGTCTCGGGTGACCCGGGGCTTCCGAGGTCCAAGACCGTGCGGTGGCGGACGGCGCGGTGAGGCCGTTGGGGATTGCGAGGTCCCTGCGCGGATCGTCACCACACGGTTTCCCTGACATCCGCCGACGTATTGCGAAGGCCTGACGGCCGGTGCCGCCGACCCTGTTCGCAATGCGCAGCAAGAGGCACGGGCTGTGGGATGGTTTGGGGGAACGGGGAGAAGGACGAGAAGGTGGGGGAGGGAGGTGTCGTATCTGACCCGGGACTTCCCCGGGACTCCCCCGGGACCCCCCCCGGGACCTCCTCTCCCCCCCCCGTCGGGGAAGGGAAAGGGAAGGGGCTTCCCTTCGACTCAATGACGACGTTGCTCAAGGTCGGTACGGGGGGGGGGCGTCGTATCTGACTCGGGGGGGGGGTCGCTACCCCCCCCGCTACCCCCCCCCCCTCCCGGCGGGGGAGGAATGAAAGGGAAGGGGCTTCCCTTCGACTCAATTACGAGGTTGCTCAAGGTCGGCTTGGCTGGAGCCCAGGGGAAGAGGAGTCCCAGGGGGGGGCGTCGTATCTGACCCGGGGGGGGGGTCGCTACCCCCCCCCCCCTCCCGGCGGGGGAGGGATCAAAGGGAAGGGGCTTCCCTTCGACTCAATTACGAGGTTGCTCAAGGTCGGCTTGGCTGGAGCCCAGGGGAAGAGGAGTCCCAGGGGGGGGCGTCGTATCTGACCCGGGGGGGGGGGTCGCACCCCCCCCCCCTCCCGGCGGGGGAGGGATCAAAGGGAAGGGGCTTCCCTTCGACTCAATTACGAGGTTGCTCAAGGTCGGCTTGGCTGGAGCCCAGGGGAAGAGGAGTCCCAGGGGGGGGCGTCGTATCTGACCCGGGGGGACATCCGCCGACGTATTTTTTTCAATCCGCGGCTCCAGGCGTCCCGACCCCTTTCCCTGGAGCAGTTTTTCGTCCCAGATCCGTTCCTGATGGCCCCCGGGGCCCGAGGGCGGCCGCCGGAGGCCGCAACAGAAGCAAGGCGCCCGACGGTGGACCGTCGGGGCCCACCTTCGCCACGTCCCCCGGGCAGGACACCCCCGAGGGCTTCCGCGCCAAGCTGGGCTCCTTCGGCGGGGGCGGCGCGCCGCCGGCGCCCCTGGCCTGCGCCGCCGTGCTCGGCTGCCTGAGCATCGGGCAGGAGTGCTTCCTGCTCGTGGCCGTGGAGGTCGCCGTGGCGGCCGAGGTCCGGGCGAAGAGAACTGCCCAGACGGGCTCCAGTGAGATCCTGGCGTCGCCTTTCGAGGAGGAGGAGGGGGAGGAGGAGGAGGAGGAGGAGGAGGAGGAGGAGGAGGAGGGAAGAGGAGTAGGGAAGAGGAGTAGGGAGGAAGAGTAGGGAAGAGGAGTAGAGAAGAGGAGTAGGGATGATGATGATGATGAT